ACCCTCAATCTTAACTGAAAACCTTAGGTATAAAACATCTGGGTTTGTTTCAAGGTGGTAAACCAAGTAAGAGAAGCAATGAATTCTGAAGTGAGGGTAGGAATGGAATCTGATCAAATAGAGAGAAAGCAAAAGCATGAGCTTGTAAGTGCAAAGTTAACACATTTTCCTTCATTCCCTAGTGTGGCCAGTACAATGGAGGATAGAGACAGGAGCTGGGGAGGAGAAAGGAGAAGAGTCAAGGCTGGAAGGCAGTAGCATCCTCTGAAACTTCCCCTCTCTTGGTGGATAACAGCTTTTCTGTCAATCGCTGCTAGAAAGGGGGGACAGGAGTGGGGTTCTGGAGCCAGGAAACTGGGAATTGAGTCCCAGCAACTCTATTCTGAGTAACCCAGAGAAAATTGCTTAATCTCTCTATTTATAAAATGTGTGTAACAATATGGTTCTTACAAAGTTGATATGAAGATTAAAAGAATGAATGCCCATAAAGCACTGAGAAGGTGGCCTGGAATGTTAAAAGTGGTCAGTCAGTACCAGTGATTATTATTATTATTTTAGCATAGTTAGCGATAATATGTCATTCTTTGATTATGTTAGGAAAATACAATTTTAAATCTGAACTTGTCTTATTCATAAGTATACAGTGTGCTTTGTAGGTTCTATAACTTGAAGAACTTATGGAATATCTTCCCCTAAAACCTTGTAAGTATACTTTACCTCTGTAGGTCCTGAGAACCTACCAGCAGAAATGCACTGAGGCTTTGGGGCTTAGGAGCACCTTTAGAAAATGTTAATACTTTAGGAATAAAGAACACTCTTTGTAGCCATAAACACTTCAGCATGGATTAGTTTACCACATTAGGCAGGACAGATAGGGCTGGACCAAGGATTACAATCTTGGACAGGTGAGAGAGAAGGTTCTAGCTTAGGGCATTGCCTGTTAGCAAGTGGGGGTGGTTGAAGATATGTCGTATATGGAAGCTTCAGGGCTCTTTGTAAACTAGGAATAATTTTAGTCTTAAGAGAAGAGGAGGGAAATTAGCTAAACAGGAGAGGGGCAAAGAGAAGACAGTCTTGTTTCCCTTACAATATTGTCTAGGGCCAACCCTGTTAATAAAAAGAGTTCTTGACATGGCTTAAAGTTGCAGTTAAGATTTGATGATGTGACCTACCTTGTCTAAAAGACTTTAAGGTCATAAGCCCAGTACATTTTATATAAAATGATTACTGATAGTAATACAGAAGAAAATATCCATACATATATTTCCTTTTTTGTTTGCAGGTCAAGCTGACGTAAGTCAGAATGCCTGCTGATTTCTAGGTCATTACTGTGTCTTTGTGATGTGGGACCTGTGCCAAGTCATGGCACATCTATAAAACTGTTGTAGGGTTTCCCTCTAGAGAGGAAGTAGTTCATTGGAGCCTCAATGCAAAATGCAGCACAGGTAGGTAAGATGTTTTTGTAATTGCCACTAGGAAAAAGAGAGGGCCCAGGGGATTCTTCTGCCCAAGGGAGCCCCTCCCTGGTTATAATCTAATTTGTGTGTATGTGGATCAAATGGGTGGAATTAAACTTTCCAAGGTGTTGTGGTTAGATTGTTTTCAAATGTTTGGTGACTCCAGGAAATGTGAGAAGTCTGTTTCTCTTTCAGAGGACCATCTTCTTGTGGTTCAAATATGGGCTTTGGAAACAGAAATGATTACATCTTTGGCTAAAGGGTGGGATCTGTTTCCTTCTTTCCCTATTGTGACTGTATAACAAGACTTTGAAATTCTGGATTTCATGTTTGAGTTTTAATAAAGGTGGTTCTAAGGTGGTAGGGAAGGCAGAAGCTAGTAGTCACTGAGGAAGTTCCTTGCTTTCTACAGATCTGCCCACCTGGAAGAACTGGCCATCCCAATGTTCTTATTTTAGTCATTCAGAGCATCTGTACATCTGTCTACACACAAGGCAGTGGAAATAAGCCACAGAAAAAATCTCAGCAGGCTGTCTAAGAGGTTGAAAGGTGTCAGGGCAAAATAAAGTTTCAGGCAAGAGGAAAAATGATATGTAAATTGAAAGAATACAAAATATAAAACTAAAATAATTTGAAACACAAGAAATATATTGGAAACTATTCCCTGAAGTCAGCCCAAACATCATTTCCATGTTTTATAGGTGCAAAATCATCTTGAAGTGTGCTACCGTGGTCAGAAAGTAAAGGTAATCACTCTTCTCCTACACCCTTGGCAAGTATCAGGGCCTATCTATGCCTGGAACATCAGGTGTTGTACTGTTTGCTGAGCTGGGCTGGGGATGTAACTCATGATAGAGGGCCTGCTTAGCAGGTACAAGGGCCTGCATTTAATCCTCAGCCACTGCCCCATTAAAAAAAACAAACAAAAATCTCTGACAAGGTTGGAGCTAGTCAATAGGAGAAATGGTTGAGATTAGGGCTTCTCTAATCTTGTATGGGAAACGCAGATTTCTGCAGTGTTAAAAATAGAAGGATGATGTTATGGCTGAATTGTACCCTTACCCCCATTTCATATATTGAAGCCCTAACCCTTACTTCAGAATAGGATTATGTTTAGAGATGGGGCCTTTTAAAAGGCAATTAGGTTAAAATGAGTGTGGGCCCAAATCCAATCTGACTAGTGTCCTTATAAAAAGAGATTTGGAGAGAGAACTGGAGAGAGCAAGCAGACAGGTAAATGCACAGAGAGATTACCAGTGAGAAGGTGGCACCTATAAGCTAAGGAGACAGGTCTCAGAAGAAACGGAACCTGCCCATACCTTCACCTCTGACTTTGACCTCCAGAACTGTAAGAAAGTATTTTTTTTGTTTAGGTATCCAGTCTGGAGCATTTTATCATGGCAGCCCTAGCAGACTAGTACCGAGAAGAACAGGTATGGTCAAATGGTTCAAGATTATGAGGGGTTTAGAAAAGGTTATGATCATCTCAGGATACCTCTAGGTCAAGGTTTCTTAAAGCAAAGTCTGTATACTACCTACATCAGAATCACCTATGATATTTTTAAAAAGCAAGTTCCCAGGTCCACTGGATCTGAAGTGTGAAAAAGTTCTGCTATGAGGCCTAAAAATCTGGCTGCCTTTTTTGCTAGACATCACAAAAGCTTTTGCACAGAAAAGCTCAAGACCCACTGCTCAAGGTCCTGCCCAACCTCTGGCTCTTTTCTCAGCTTGACTGGCAGGTACTAATTCCATTCCATCAAGTTCTGGTGTACCTGGTGCTCTAGCAGATGTTCCAGCATGCTGGAATAATTGTAAACCCCCTATAGGTTCTCTCTCCAGGTGTGTACCCAGCATATAGGAAAGCTGAATGGGATGGAATGAATGGAATCCTTGGGGAATCTACTTTCAGTTCTGGAAAGAAATACGTGCTAGACTTACCTTACTTAAGAATATAATGAACACAGCTTGTACAATAGTCTTCAGTACATCTATTCTTTCCCTGGGTTTATTTAAAGATCCTAATACCTTGGTTGCTAAGTTAACAGAAGGAATACATGAACTAGAATTAGCATATATAATTTTTCTATGCTACTCATTAGTTGTGCTTATTTGAACAGTTCCCTGACATGGCCTGTGCCTATTTATTTTTATTTTTTGTGGTGCTGATAGAACCCAAGGCTTTGCATATGCTAGATAAGTGCATATTTACATCACTGAGGTACATCCCCAGCCTGTACCTTTTTATGCCCTGTACAGTTAAAATATAATATTAGTGGAATAAATAATACATACAGATATAAAAGGCAGATAATAAATGGAAAAGAATCTAATAAATACTGCACACAGGCTTTGTGCATTCATTATTTCCTCATTATTAAGGAGAATAAGAATAGAAAATGTTCTTTCACATGGCATAAGGTGGGTTTTCTTTCCTTCACCAGTGGATCACAAAGGAACTGGAGGAGAAGAGAAAGAACAAAGGAGAGAAAGAGGAAGATGGGAGTCCAAAGCAACACAGTGATGAACATTTTCTTTTGGTTGTCGTTTTTGAACAGGGTCTTATTATGTAGCTCAGGCTGGCCTGGAACATACTAGGTAGCCCTCACTGGCTTTGACCTTTTGATCCTCCTGCCTCAGTCTCCTCAGTACTGGAATTACAGTCGTCCATCACTATGCCTGGCTTGAACATTTTCAAAGTAGGCAGAATAGGAGACACTCATGTGGCAGTTCCCTAGGGATATGCAAAGCCTGCATTCTATTTGCAGATAATTAAGGACATAGATTTTATATTGTTTTATTTTTTTAAACCTGAAATTTAGGCAGATCATTTGAGAATGTTCAAGTGTTCAATAGCTCATTAGGTTATTTCTCTATTTTCCTTCTGGTGCTAAGCCTTTGAATCCCAGTGCAGCTACCAGCAGTGACCAGGCTTGTCTAGGAGTGTCTGTGTCAACTCTTTTTAAAGCACTTATTCAATGTCAGGCACTTGACTAAGTGTTTTTCCCTCCTTGACTAACCACATTTCAGTTTCTCTGTGTAGACTCCTGGATTCCTTTGGGCAGGATTGGGGTGGATGGGACATTGGAATTGTCATTCATATTCCAGGTGCTTTCCCGAAACAAGAATTCCGGCACTTAAGAGAACTGATTTAAAACTCGAGGTCTTAATACTCTGGGGAGGTTCAGAAGAAAAGCCCTGAACACAACTGGGGTTCATTAAGCAATGAAAAGAGGACATTAGGTCTTCGGGGAGAAAGCTCCAGGGTTTGGGGACGAGCACTCTGCGTGGTGGCATCTTTCGGGTCAGCTCTGCCTGGGTTCTGGGTTCTGGGCTCAGCCGGGTCCCGGCCTAGCAGCCGGGCCGCTTCGGGGACCTGACCCGGGGACCAGCGGGGTCTTGGCGGGCGGGCGAACGAGCGCGGCGGCGGCGGCGGCGGCGCCGCCTTCATTAGGGGGCGCTCTGGGGGCGGCTGCAACGCAGTCCCGACTCCCGCCGCTTCCTCCCGCCGCCCCTCCCCGCCCGCCCGCCCGCCCCCCCGGCGAACGCAGCCCAGCCGGGCCCTGGGGACCAAGCCTCGGGGAGCCGCCTGGGACGGGGCGCGGGCAGCACCGCAGCCGGAGCGGGGCCGGGCCGCACCGCCGCCTCCTTCCGCCGGCCCCGCCGCCGGCCATGCATTCTTCCGGCTCCTCTGGCTCCAGCAGCCCGGGCCGGGCCCCGGCCAGTCCAAGGTAACCTCCGGGGCGGCGGCGGCGGCGGAGCAGCCGGGCCCTGGGAGGCGCTGAGGAGGAGGACAGGAGGAGAAAAGGGGCAGGGGGCGGGGAAGGGGTGTCGTCGTCGTCGTCGCGTGGCCGGGGACTGAGGGACGAAGGCGCGGTAGGCCCCGGGGAGGAGGCGGGAGCGCGCGGGGCATCCGCCCGCCTCCCCGGGACCCGCCCCGGTGACAGGTCCGGCCTCTGAGTCCCGGCCGCTCGTCCCTCTGTCCGCAGGCAGCCGCGAGGGGAGTAGGGCGCCCGCGCGCCCGCTCGCGCCGCGCTCCGGGCCGCCTCGGCCGCCGCCGCCGCTGCGTCCATGACCGCGACCCCTCGGCCGGGGACCCCCGCCGCCGCCGCCGCCGCCGCCGCCTCCACCCTCGCGCTCCGCAGCCGCTCACCGCTCGCGCCCTCCGAGGTGAGAGCCCGGAGCGCGGGCCGCGCCCGCCTGTCCGTCCTCCCGCCGCGAGACCCCCTCCTTCCTCGGCCGCGGAAACCGCTGCCGTCCCCGGCCGGCGGAGCGAGCGCGGCCACCCCAGTCCCTCCTCACCGTCGCCGCTGCCCGGTGCTCCTCACCCCTCGCCCCCCGTCTTCACCTCACCCTCCTCTGGCGTCTCCCTTCCCCCTTCCTGCGCTTCCTCCTTTCGCCCTGTTAGTTACCCCGCTTTCTTCTGTCACCTTGTACTCTGCTATCTAGGCCCCCTTTCCTCTAAAAGAAGGGAAACAAAACCCGATTGCTGCCAGGGAGGCTTCCGAGCGTGGCTCTTGGCTGATGCGAATGAACCGGCGTGCAGGAATGGTGGTGGCCCGGAGACCCATTTCTCAGAGATCGGACCGAGGTGTCCCTGTCTCTGTCCTACTCAGGTCCCCAGTGTCATCGGTTTGCAGACACTAAGGGTGTCTGAAGCAAGTGGCTCTGTTTTAGTCTTCCTTTTCTGAAAGTCCAAATGGATAACCGCAGTGGGACGCCGCGGTGCCACCAATTAGTGAGTGGGAATTGTGTTATCATTTGCTAAATATGACAAGCCCCCTGCCTGCCCGGGTGAACTGCTCCCCTGACCTTGTGCGCCTCCTCCTCCCCGGCTCTCTGTCCCCATCTGGAATTTCCCCTAGAGATCACCGAGGTACTACACCCGGAAAGCTTAGACCCTCTTTTCTTTTTCTTTTTTTTTTTTTCCTCCCCCTTTTTATTTTTACCGTGCTGGAGGTGATTTATAGGCTGCTGACTATTTGGATGTGTTTCATCCATTTTCCTTTTTAAATGCATTCTTCCTTCCACCCTAGAAAGACAGTACCGAGTCCAATGTGAGAATGGCTGTGACTTTGGAAGAAGCTCCGTGGCTGGCTGGATGTTGGTGAAAGCCCTGATGAGATTCGCCTTCATGGTCGCCAACAACCTGGTTGCTATTCCGTCCTACATCTGCTATGTGATTCTCCTGCAGCCCCTCCGGGTGCTGGACAGTAAGCGCTTCTGGTATCTTGAAGGAATCATGTACAAGTGGCTTTTAGGAATGGTGGCTTCCTGGGGATGGTATGCGGGATATACAGGTAAGAGAGTACTTTTGTTGAATGCACATGAAAAAAATTTGCAGTGTTATGCTGAAGTCAGGAGCCATGATTGAGTATAGATTATGTTTTCGGTTGAAGATGCCTTTATGCTTTCACCATTGAAAAGTTAAGTAGGAAATAGTTTTGTTGGGTTTCTCTTCAGAATCTCAGGAAGCATGGTATTTCCAGAAGTATAATTTCATAATTAAATATTGATGAGTCCCTTAAATAACGTGTTTAGTGAGATTGACATTCATTTATTAAAACTTGTCTGCAAAAGCTCTCTTGGAGGAACAGGAGTGCATTATATTGGACCTGGAGTCTTATAAAGTGAAAACCTACTTAGTCCATAAACATTGGGGATTTAGAAAAGCACCTGAGCTGTATTTATGCTAAGACAGTTTGTTTTTCGTTTAATGTGATATTGTACTGTGTTAACATTTTAATCCAAGCTCCCTCCATGGTTCTTTTCTGTTATGTATGTTTCTTTTGATTTCTAGTACCTATATTTTATCTCACAAATCTGAGAAGGTTAAATTTTTCTAAAAATTATCTTTGTTAAGCTAGTTTATCTCCTGAGTGTCTTTAAATAGATTTCTATTTCTGCTTTTAAATTTCATTTTGGGGAGTAGTAGTAGCGCTGTTCTGAAGTGGACTTTTGTAGAACTAAATGAGAAGTGGGGTTTATTTTCTGTTTGTATGCCTTATGTACTTTGAGAGCTTCTGCTTCTGCTGTGAAAATGCTGTATGTATCTTTTACTGTATTATTTGATTTTTTTTCTCTAAGAATTAGGATAATGAAGAAAGCAGTGAGGTTTCTAGTGCTTGTCAGATGTGGAAGTTCTTATGAGGAAAACACGTAACTGGTGGGTCATGCAGCAGATCCGGGGTCAGTGGTCTGCAGTTCGTAGCTTGGAAGAGTGAGGAGGTAGGTTATGTACTCTCAGGGTCGGCTGCATGGCAGTTCTCCATCTTAAATTCTGTCTCCCTCTTTCCTGCCCAGGCAACATCTGCAGAGTTTATCCATACTCATGGGAAAAGAACTGACAGTACACAGCTTTTCTGGGGTCTGGCTGATTCTTGCTATGTCAGAATGTTCTCAGGTGCACAGATGAGGCCTTTTTTTTTTTTTTTATTCCAGCATGGCCATTTATTCTGCAAGCCTTGTAGTGTATACATTGCTTCCTTATACTGGTCTTGCTGAGATTCCAGTGTTTTTTGGATACAGTAGGTGAACTTTTAGTCTTTTTTAGGACTTGGTGGTAGCAGTAGCAGTGGTAGAGAGGAAAAAAAAAATGAAGTTCAGTCTGTGCTGCTGAATCCTTATCTGAATTGAGCTGCTGTCTTAGAGTGGCTTTGCCTGATACAGTTTGAACTTTCCCAAACGTGCTATGTGATAACTAGTGGCTTTATTCTTTGTACAGTATACTTAAATTGCTTGTTTTAAATGAACTCATATTCTTTTTAGAAACCAGTTCTAGAAGATTATTCTACTTAAACATAATGAAATTGCTGAAATGTTTGTGTTTATGTGTCAGTGTGATGGGAAGGTGAAAAAGATTAATTTGTTATTGACCTTGAGGTTATGAGGAATGCAGTACTGGTGCTTAAAATTAGTTACCCTACAGTCATAGCACAGCTGCAATACATTTTTAAGTGCATTTTCTTGGGGTATTGCTTCCTTTCTCACCATAGAACTGTGAAGCTTCTTCTGCCACCTACCTGGAAAGTGCATGATCTGCTATTTTAGAAGAGCATCTGCTCCTCTTCAGGCTACTGCATTTGGACAATTTGATCAGTTTCTCATTTGAATACAGAATATTTTAGTGTGCACATTTAAAGTGGTTTCCCATAGGTAGAATAGCTGATTTTAGAGAGTCTAGTCATAGGCTGGTCAGAACAGAACGGTAAAGAGATCAAACAAACGTAGGGATGAATTTTGTTGAAAGCCACAACCAGGTTTATGGAGGCCAACCAGTACAGGGTTGATGAGCAGGTGTGCCCGCAAAAGGACCACAGGGGCTGTAGCAGCCTTTCTTCCCTTCCTACCAAGAGGATGGTGGACTTGTTTTTTGTTTGTTTGTTTGTTTCTTTTCTCTAACCCTAAGATTCACAGATGGAAAGCTGAACATTGTTATCAGAATTCTGCTCAGTAGATCTGGTATGTTAATGTTTTAGAATAAAAATTACCAAAATTTATGAGAAAGCCTCAAGTATTAATTAGGAAGCTGAAAATTGAACACTGGTTTAGAATATCCTCTTTTCAAATTGCAACCTTTCAGTGTAAGACAAGTCAATTACTTTGCTGTGCTGCTGAGGACCCATAATGATTGTCTGACCTACACTGCCCCCCCATGATAGCCACTAGCTGCATGTGGTTATTTAAATTTAAATGAATTAAAATATTGTAAAATTGAAATCCGGTCATACCAGCCACATTTCAGGTGTTCTGTACAGGTGACTTAGTGGCCACATATTGATCAGTGTAGATACAGAACTCTTCTATTGTCACAGAAGGTTCTACTTGACAGAGTAATAAATAGTAATTATTACTTCTTTCCCTTCTGTGAAGAAAATTGCATTTTATCTTTATAAAAAAGAACATCTTTCTCTAGTTCTAAACAGATTTTTGCGTTAGGGATGCAGTTCAGTGGCAGAGTACCTGCCTAGCATACACAGATCCCTGGATTCCATCACCAGCACTGCAAATAAATAAATAAACATACTTCTTTTGGGTGTAAAGAAAGATATATTAAAATAAGTCCTTAAATGCAGACATGCTTCTTGGGTGAGGAATGGTGAGGTCATTAAGCCCAAGAATTTAAATGAACAGTCTTATTCTTAGCTTATATTCTCAGCTGGAGAGCTTCCAGTGTACACAGAAGATGGAGAGGGGATTTTTCTGGTTTTTCTGATTGTCTTGTTAAGGGAGCACATTTCTAAAAAGAATTCTGTAGACAGAGGGGTTTGTCCATACCAGCTTGCTACTAGGTGGTGGTGATTATTTTCACTTTTCCTTTAGTGATAAATGCGGAGCATCCATCTCATAAGAAAAAGTTTTATACTGCCTTTGCCCTAATATTTTAAGGTTAACCCAAAAGAGATGTTGGCTTACCCAGTGATGTTGGCTTCTACATGCTCTATTTGGACCTGGGATAATTTAGTACATCCCTCCCACCAACTAAAGCGAAGACTGGCAAGTTACAGAGAGAGATTTTGTACAAAACAAAATGTGCTTGTTTAAAACAGTCTGTTTTAATTTTCTCTCACTTATTTTAATAAAGTCATTGTCATCCAAACACATTTAATTAAAATCTCTGTGTTTGAAATAGTTTATAGATTGTCTCTGTAAGTAGAAGCTTCTGAATTTCTACATAGGATTGAGTCTTTTGGGCCAAAGTCTGACTGGCAGGGAGTTGGGGTGCCAGGGGACTTGGTACCAAACTGTTTTTGTTTGGCAAATACTATTTTCCTTGGATTGGATATTTGCTTGGGGTGGCTTTATGGAAGGCCGGGGCAAATTAGGTTTAGTTTCTGCCCACTCCCTAGCTGTGATGGATGTTTGTTCATCTTTGTGGGCTGTTTGATTTTGTGGTTATCTTGGTAGTGTCCTACTTTTTTTGTTGAGATAAAATTTTGTTGTACAAGAAAAATTAATGTTTAGGAATTATATCTGACCTTGAAATTCTAGAGAAAGTTTTAAAATATATCTTTTATAGCAGTATTTTCAACTGTTGAGTCATAAAATCAATATAGTCTGTGAGGATGAGCATTTTTTAAAAGTGAAATTGAATAGAATTAAATAGAAAAGATCAGGAACGTGTATATCTATACTGAGTGGTGCTACAGAATGTGTGTGTGTGTGTGTGTATAATATATATTTTACTATGAGTGCAGTCAACATTTGAAAGACATTGCTCTAGTGGGAAGAACACTGCAGCTTAGGAGACCTCTGCAAGTCAGTGGTACTGATCTAGCTTTAACTTTAATATCTCTACTCGCTAGAGAGATGAGTGCTTACCTGCTTCATGCCCATTGGGTATTGTTTACATCCTATAGCCTAATTTGTTGCCTGCTGCTCACAGACTGCTCAATAAATACCTCTTTCTTGATCTTTTATTTTATTTTATTTTTTACAATGCTAGGAATTGAACCCAGGGTTACATACATGCTAGGCATGCACTGTGCCACTGAGCTATAGTGCTAGCCTAAGCAACTCTGTTTTTCAGACTTTGTTTGTTTTTTTGCTTATTTACTTGAGACAGAGTCTTGGTATGTAGTCCAGGCAGGGTGCAATGATCCTCCTACCTCAGCCTCTCAAATTTTAGGATTACACACAAGCATGAGTGTCTTTCTTTGCTGATCTCACCTGAGATTCCTTAGCTATCTATCTTCCTGAAAGGTCTAAAAACAAAGTAGTTGCAGCCCATAAAATATAAACCCTGATCTCAAGCCTATGAATCAGACCATATAAAATAGTTATTTGTTAATGTAGCAGCTTTTTATTGAGCTTCTTTTATATGTAGGAGTAGGTGTCCTAGAATTGCTGATATGCAGAAAACATAATTGCTGAAGTTAAGGAACTCACAGCAGTGTTGATAGGAGACAGTGTACCATTCATATTGAATGATGCTCTAAGAGAAATGTACCATGGGGTGAAAAAGAGAGTCTCCTGATCTGGCATCAGTAGTAAGTGGTGGGAGGGACGACATAAGGAACTTAGGGAAGAAGAGGCTTCAATTTCCTGGGTTCCCCTCCACCATTAGGGAAATAGTTCTCTGTCGGTGTCTTTTCTAATTCTATCATCAGTAATAATAACAGATTCAAAAGATGTGAATAATGTGCCACTTTGAAATTTTATCTTTGTGGCAATAATATTAGCTAACATTTATTGAAATGTAAGCCAAGTAGTGTTGTAAGTGCTTCACATTAATGCATTCATCATTTCACTTTGTCATTTTAGTCAAAATGCTAAATACAATTTTATCAGTTTGGTACTA